TTTTCTATTGTATTTGAAACAGACTAAAAGTCAAGTGACACTTTGTCACGTGCTAAAGAATGGAGACTCAAAAGAATCAACCAATCAGGTTGAAGCATATCTAAAACCTAACAATGAACGAAAAAGGAATGATTTACAATGACTAAGAAATATGAAACAAGGTAGAAATAACACGGAATTAGAGGAGTTAACGAGCTTAGCTATATTGAGTATATAAATCTATATCTTATATAAAGAGAGCTTATCTCAGATTATGAGTCTCTCGCTTATATAATGAATTTATATAGAGATAGAAAAAACCAATATATAATTTGAAGATTCCGATCCGAGTATCAAAATACCACATTTTCAAGAAAGTACGGTTTCGTGGTCTAGTTGGTTATGGCATCTGCTTAACACGCAGAACGTCCCCAGTTCGATCCTGGGCGAAATCAATTTCTTTTTGAATTTTTTTTTTGGTGCAATGGTTTTTTTTTTAATAAGCTATATCAAACAAACAAATGGTCATGTTTATTTTTAATAATATCATTATTTATTTGATGAATTCATATGCTAAGTAAAATAATTCTAATATTTAGTTCATGCATGAATGTAAAATATAATATTTTACCGCTTTTCCGTATTAGAGATAGTTAAAATGCAACACTTAAATCAATATATATAAGTATATATGTTTTAACGAAATGAATGCGATTGTTTTGGACATCCAAAATATTCCTTACCTTGTTTCTAAGTTATTTTAATATTAAACCCCTGGCTTTTTTTTTTTGAGGGAAAAAGAGAGAGTTCCTACAGAAATCACATACTCTATGAAGCTTTATTAGTCTTGTGAATATTCTCTAACTATGGTTTCTTGTACAAGTTGTGTGACTGAACGATGTAGGAACAGACTACTTAAGAGATTGCTGTTAATGTTATTATCAATATTAAACATCCAATCGAACTAATCGTGTCATCTATTTTTCTCTTATTGAGTTGATACTGGAGTTGTGGTGGCGATCAGATCATACAAGAAAAAGCTAGTTAAAATCTGTTTAATAAACCACGTTTGACATTCTGCTATTATGTGAATTACTACCCGTTACCCATTTTTTTATAAGTCAGCGAAACCGTTCCTCCAGGCAAAGAAAAAACGAAAGGACAACCCTTTCGATGTTTCATCTGCCATACAGCTTATACCTCAGTTTAAGGAACAACCATTTGATCGTAAGCTCAGGTTTAAAAAAGGAATGTTTATCTATTACTTCTTACAAGAAATAATCCATTTGTGATTTTTTTGTAGGAATTATTGCATTCCCTACTCCGTCTTGAGGTTGAACCGCGTCAAAAATGGTATAGTTCCTTTGTAGATCATCTTCAATTCTCAATACAGCGGCCACATTTCCACATCTATAACAATAATTAGGTGCTGACCAAACAGTAACTAATCCACCATCAAACATTTCTTTATAACCTTCCATTACTAATTGATGTGCACGCGCTATTAATTCAACATTATTTGTGTGTAGGAACTGATTCACTTCATTTTGACCAAAGACAAAACCTGCACCTCTTGGCGATAAGGACCATTTTTCAACATCATCAGGGTCACTCCAAAGTAAATCACACATAGCACCTTCATGTGGTACTTCTTGTTTTCTATCTATTGCTCTTATTTCATCTATTGTAGAAACATCGGGTGAAAGGCCACCATGAACACAAAATATATTATTATTAATAATTGCACCAAGAGACAAATAATCAAATACTTCACAACAATATCGCCAAACGTTACTATTCCCATATTTTCTCATAATTTCGTCATAAAATCCATAAACTTTAGTAATTTGACGCGTTTCGTGATTTCCTCTTATAAGTGTGATTCTATCAGGGTATTTCAGTTTGTAACATATCAACAATAGGAATGATTCTAAGGAATAAAAACCTCTATCTACAAAATCACCTAAAAATATATATCGCGTTTTCTCAACACCACCACTTTTATCAAATAATGTTAAAAGATCATGTAACTGACCGTGAATATCCCCACATATAGTTACAGGTGTGTCGACATGGGTAACATTAGCCTCCGTCATTAACAACTCCTGTGACTTCAAACAAAGTGAATACACAGCTTCCTCTGTAATATGTTTTCCTTGCTTCAACAAGGTTATGGTGCGATCTATCTGCATCATGTTGCACACAAACCTATTTCTCTAATTACTAAATTATACAGTTCACTATCTGTAATTGATTCAAACGTACAAAAAAAAACCCAAAAAATAAAGAATAGATAGATGTATGCCCAGTTCTAATATTTCTTTCAGGGTCTCATCCGAATATCTGAAACTAAAAATTGTTTATATTTAACTTCTCTTCCTTTTACTGTTCACCGATTTTTCAGTTCGCCAAACTCGATAAACTTTTTCTCGTTCTTTCTTTTACCCACAACAACACCAAAATGTTGTTTTGAGATGCGAAGAGACGATTTTTCTTGGCTCAGACGTGATTTGTAAACAAAAACAGAGATAGTTATCTGAAAGGATTGAGGAATAATAGGAACTTGAAGTGGATTATAATCTGCTATTAGAGTATACTTGCAAGGATAAATATTTAGTTTTACTGAAGACCACGAACAATCTGATTTTCAACTGTTCTTTATTTTTTATTCATTGTAATAGAGAGAGGGAACCAACCAAGAACCAAGAGGAGATATAAACTACGTATAAATTTTAGATACAACGATGATAGACTATAATTTAATGCATAAAGCTAATCCATTACTGTTTGCACCTGAACGGTATGATCAATATCCTTTGAATCACCAGGAATTGATGCAATATTTGACATCGGCATCTTCTTCAGGTGCTACAGTTTGTCCAAGACCTGTGACAGCCACTGATGAGTTTGATTATTTGTTATATATGGATGGTAATTCCTCTAACCGTTCTTCTGCTAGTCCTGAACATTTAACCAACATGTCATCTTCAGCAATTAATACAGGAGTTATGGAATTAGATCTGGATAAGAAGTTAGCATGTGAATTTGCTATTTACCAAACTCATATGAGAAATAAACAAAATGATATTAGTGGAAAAAATGATAATTCTCACAAAGCTAAAAAATTTAATGAATTATTACAAATGAAAGTGGGTTCAAATGAATGGTTTGATGAAATGTTACATCTTTTGGAATCTATTAATGCTACAAATATTGATCTTAGCTCCATTGGGGATATGACCATTGCCACAAAGGATAATAGTCTTCGTAAGAAAATTGTCGGTGATGGGCAGGTTTCAAATAATACGGATGGAATAGAGAGAACAGATACAACAGGTATCGATTTGCAAGACACAATATCGTATATTATGTCGAATGCAATCAAGAATGGTGTTGATATCAAACCACAATTTAAGGAAACTAAATCTGAAATAAAAAATCATTCTAACGAGAAAGAATATCTTCGTAATATTATTGATTCTATGATTGAAATGGCAAAAATAAACAGGGATAAAGTTACTAATATTACAGAGGATAAAGAAGCTGACAATGTTAAAATGAAAGAAATGAATACAGCATTAAATGATTTACAATTAGCACATAATTTCTTAACGAGACAGTTTGAAAGTGACAGAATCGAATATTCTAAGGATATTGAGAAATTAACAAAAACTAATAGAGAATTACAAGAAAAATTATTGAATTATCATTCAAATTTGACCAAAACAGAAAATGAACTACATGAAACCCAAGAAAAATTACAAATGAAGGAATTAAATCCAGTTATTGAAGGAAACAACACTCCTCTCCTTAAGGGTCTGGGAGATGATTTAGGGTTCTTATCGCCAATAACTGTGGATCCTGATAATATACGTAGCAGTCAAAGTTCATTTGATTCAAAGGGTGAACCTAAGAGTGATGGTAAGGGATCATCGTATTCTTTAACATTGATGCGTAATGAATTTAAAAAACTATTAACAGAAACGCAACGCAAATATGAAACAGAACTTGCTAAAGAGAGAGAACTACGTCAAGAACTCGAAAAGAAACAATTGAAATAATTTTTTTTTATATTTTTTTCATATATTATATCCATGTTTTCCCTATTTAATTACATACACCTTATCCAAATACATATACACCTCGAGTATCTTAAAAAGAACATAATACAACAAACATTTATATTACTAAAAAAGGATGTCATAAAAGTTAAAATGTCGTGATGTGTATAATAATGTATTTAGTTTTGGTGATTATTTCTGTCGAACTGTATTACCAATAACTGATCTACACAGAAACAAGTAAAATAAAAAATGAAGTTGCCCAAATGGTAAGTGCTTAAAATCCCATCTTTTTTACATCTTTCTAAATTCACTCAACACAGGGTATATAGCTTCAAACGCCTGATAAATTTCTTCCCTTTGTTTTGCACCCGTCAAAACAATCTTACCACTCACGAAAATCAGCAGCACAATCTTTGGTTTCACCATTCTATAAATTAGACCAGGGAATAATTCTGGTTCATATGACGAGAAAGTACCGTGACTAAATGCCAAACCTTCTAATCTAATAGGAAATTTCACATCACAAGAACCGACAATATTTTGAATCTTGAAATCTGTAAATTTAGCTGCAAAACCAATCTTTTGAATAATTCTTGCATATTTTCTACTTGCTAGCTTAGAATCATCTTCACTCTTAGCACCAGTAACAACCATTTTACCTGAGGCAAAAATCAAAGCTGTAGTCTTTGGTTCACGGATACGCATAATAACAGCCGCAAAACGTTTAGGGTTATATTCTGCATTACGTGCATGTAAAGCAACAGTCTTTAAATCTAATCTACAACCAAGATTCACTGTTGCAACAATATTTTGTAAAGTCGGCACGATACCTGATGTAGCAGCATCATCTTCTTCTTCTTCTTCTTCGTCATCTTCTGCATTATTGTTGCTTTGAATATTACCGTTTTCAATCTTTTCTTTATCAACACCGGCACTATTACCGGATGCTACACTTTCGTCCTTTAAAGTAGCATCGTTTGCAGTTTGGGTCTCCCATACTTGTCTTGTGTTAGGGTCGAAGACTGCCTTATTTTGCTCTTTGAACTTCTCCAAACGTTCTTCGGTATCAGACATAATTCACTCTCTAGATATAAATAAAAAATAATAATAATATACAAAAATATAGGACCCCCAAAAAACCACTGAACACGAAGATCTTAGTCTTTCTCTATACTGACCAGCGATAGTTTGTAATACACCTTTTCTTGTTCTTGTTCTTGTTCTTCTCCTTAACAATATCGGACGCCTCAAAGGGTTAATTAAAAAGATAAACTTCATCAATTTTCGAATGGCTTTGTTTGGTTTTTCTCGAATTGTAAATTTCTTTAGTTCGTCTTTTTCCGTATTGCACAAATCGTCTTATACGAAGTAGGGCATCACCAAAACACGTAAAGAAATTAAAAAGGTTACTACTATTAAAACTCTCTCTCTAGACAACTTTCTGATTTAGGTAGACCAATCAATCGATTAGGTTATTTGAAATACTATTTAATTAAAGCTCTGGTTTTATACTATCAGGTTATAAAATTGAAATTGCGCAAAAATGGCATCAGTGGTGGAGTTATTGCAAATTTCCAAAGAATGCACAGATCAAGCACATAGGTTCGGTGGCATTGTGAACGATCAGAATAGTTTAGAGCAGTATTATACTTTGATTCGAACTTCTATCCAGGCTCTTGTAGATATTAAAACTAAATATAGTTTGTCTATTGTTCAGGATGTTTATGTCACATTTTCCTTGACCAAATTATTACTCGATGAGACTACAGATTGTGAGATTGCAGAGACCTACCTATCTTCTCTAAGACAAAGATTACAAAATTATAAGAATGGTTCAGATTATATATATATGCAATATTGGTTACAAGTGGAATTTATAGCTTTGTATGATGTCACCATGAAAAGAAATTCAAAGTTTCAATATCGTGTGGCGCTGAATAATTGTACTAGTTTAATAACGTATTTGAAAAGTTTGTTTAATGAAGATAATACTGCCCTAAGAGAATGGTGCCAATTGTTCCAATTGGTGGAAGTATTGTTATGTGACGCTTTAAATAGAACAAAGAAAGTCAATGAACTGTATCCCTCTCTATTGACGGAATCTAAACAAATCAATGAAAAATGGCACATGTTAGTTGTCACATATTACATAAATTGGCTCTTGGAACGACATCAACAGATACCTAAAGAATATATTGAAGAATTATATGATGCAACCGTGGAGACACTAGGTCCACAATTATATGTTATGAAATTAATGCTTTTATTAACAGATAGTATTCTTAAGGATGAAAATATCACAGATATATTGACTCAATTTAAGGCTTTTTTCGAAAAATATAAGGATCAATTGAATGATCAATCTGTTATAACTATTTCCTTCAGTCAGGATGTAGATATTGTGTTTAAACATTCAACACTATTTCAATATAAGAATCTAAAGACTTTATTATTATTTTTCCAAGCTGTCAGTTACTTGGTGAATTGCTACGATGAAACAGCTAATTTCAGTATAAAATTTTTACCACGAGTTAAGAAAAATCTTGTTAAGGAATTACATAGTAGAGATAAGACTGGTTCCAATCCAACTTCAATTTCATTGAATGATAGAGATTATAGATTAGAATGGTATTCTCGGTTATTGGATTTAGCCGATTTTTATAGAATTTGGGAAAGACTTATATTAAAGTCGCACATAAGTGAAAAAGATCTCAGAGAAGGGTCTCATTATAGTGATTTGCTGAAGATAATGCATAATCATGAAAATTTACAATCGGAAGATATAGCTGACCAGTATTATAATTTGTCCCAAAGGACAATGAGTAACGAAGTAGAACTCTTATCATTGTTAAATTGTTATATTATTTTAATTTCTAAAATTAATGGTTGTGAAGATAATACAAAACAAACTTTAATGGTACGTTGTGAAAAAGTTTGGCATGACGTTGAAATTTTACAGGACAGTAGTAATATTTCAAAGAATAATACCATGTGGGATTGTACTATAGTTATTATATGGTTAATATCGCATTTAGAACCTTTCACTTGGACCCCATTACCAACCAATGATGAAACACGTAGTAAATATCTAACTCGATTGCAAAAATATTACAATAGCAATCGATTGACATCAGTTTCAGATGACAAGCAAAACGAAGTTGAAACAGATTATAAGATGAAAAAGAGTTTGTTTTTACAGGTGATGGTGAATTACCTCGGTGGTCGTTTGTTAGAGACAAATCTAGAAAAGATAAATGAAATTTCAAATATATGCTTACAAATTACAAAGGGGCAACGTATGCCTTATATACGCTATGTGATTGGGTTATGGCACCTAATGAATTGTACAATTTCTATGAACAGCAAAGAAGTTCTTATCGCAAAAGCTAAAATTGAGTCCATCCTGAAGGAAATGTAATGGATGTAGGAAGATTGTCAATTCAAAGTATCCTTAAATATAACAAAAAAAACACAAATGTTTGGTTATATATCTTCTAACAGTCCTTCTTCCCACCTGGGACAAGCATGTTTATATTGTTCCCACTTAGCAGTAATCTACCGTGATGCTCCATAACTAATTCGTTCTCGTTATTTTCATTAATAGTCCATTCAGTTGCGTCTTCTATGATAACATTAACAAAGTCATCAAACCCAACAAGTGTACCGGTAAATTCACGATTTGATTGTAAAATAATCCATACTTTTTGGTTAATGGTTTTGTCGATGACCTCTAAAGGTAGTATTTCGGCTATACTCATTTTATGTTTTCTTATAAGGTGATTAATAGTTGTTTCTTGTCACAAAATATCTGGATGAAGATAGAGACAAATTGATTAAAGTCGATTGTTGGGTATTCTATCGTTATTGTGTCAACTTCCTAAGAAGTAATGTAAGTTTTAACCAAATTCAAAGATATTAATAGTGTCTTCTATTCGCTCTTTTACTGTGTTTCCAATGCTAGTTCATCATGGTATTCATAGGTTTATGCACGCAATTTTGCATTACGCCAATTTTTGGGTTTTCCTTTATTTTTTTACGATTTTTTTATTGTGTGAGATTTTTGGTTTTTTGGCCTTTTCGCAAATTGTCGTTTCATTCCCGAATAATAATTATTTAATTAATTTGAGATTAAAGCGCAAAAAAGTAGGGTTTGGCAAATTACACCCGGCTGATGTGGCACAGTAATCGCTGCAGGGCTCACACATTGTCACGCAGACATCATCGATATGATAAGATACGCAATTAGCGTACGCTTATTTTAAATTGTGCGTTCTATTTACTGCGCAACGCTTTCCCAAGCCCTAATTTTGCTGACATAGACGATGACTTCAGCTGACCAAATACGAACAGAAATAGTTATTTTAAAGACGATAAATATCTGTTACTAAATTCGTACGATATTTATTTCGGTTGATAGATAATCAACATTTGGAAATATCGAAACTAGTCAGCCATATGATTTTTTTGTGAAGTGAAAATGTTGCTGCAATACAATAATTAAAATTTCTTCATTGGTTATTTAATGAATAATTCTAAAGAACTAACGTACTGCATTTATTGCAATTGGATGCAACGTTCCTCACCCCTGGGTTGCAATTGATTGTGTGTGTGTGTGTCCATACATATTTATAGTTAGCTAGATTAAAGGGTGTGTTTTGAAATTGAAGAAGACGAAACCCTCTATTTCTGTTCTATTTTGCATATCCGTCCTTCTTAAAAATGCATTAACAGTTATCGGTTCACCGCTTAAGTTATATGTTGAAGGGTGCATTTGCTGATGTTGTAAACTGACGTTATAGTCACAATTTGCACCTTCTTAATATAAACCCGTTGTTAATCTTGTTAGGTTTGTCGTGGCCACTCGATGACTTATATTTGCTATTTTAAACTGATATATATATAAGAGGTAATTATTAATGTTTCTCTGAAAGTGTAATTAGGTTGTTGTTGAAAATGTTTCTTTGAAGTCTATATCTAAATAATAATTAATATATATAAATATATATATATATAAAGAAATATAAGGTGTCCGTTATTTTATTTTCAAGATGGCTAACAAGGTGTTTAGTGTTGCTGTCTTCTTTGTTGTCTTTAGAGAATGTCTAGAAGCAGTGGTCATTATATCTGTACTTCTTTCATTTTTGGATCAATCTATTGGTACTCGAGATATCGTTCTATTCAAGAAATTGAGAAAACAAGTTTGGATAGGTGTCGCAGTTGGTTTTGTCATATGTTTAGCAATTGGTTGTGGGTTTATTGGTGCTTATTATTCTTTACAAAAAGATATCTTCGGTTCAGCTGAAGATCTTTGGGAAGGTATATTTTGTATGATTGCTACTGTCATGATTACGATGATGGGTATTCCTATGTTAAGAATGAACAAGATGCAAAGTAAATGGAGAGTTAAAATTGCAAGATCTTTAGTAGAAATTCCAAAGCGTAAACGTGATAGATTTAGAATTAGTTATTTGACTAGTCGTTACGCAATGTTCTTGTTACCTTTCATTACTGTACTTAGAGAAGGTCTTGAAGCTGTGGTCTTTGTTGCTGGTGCAGGTATCACTACAAAAGGTTCACAAGCATCTGCTTATCCGTTACCCGTATTCGTTGGTTTAATAGCAGGTGGCTTTGTTGGTTGGTTACTTTACTTTGGTGCATCTCGTTCTTCGTTACAGGTATTTTTAATCATATCTACTTCTATCCTATATCTAATCTCCGCAGGATTATTTTCCAGAGGAGCATGGTATTTCGAAAATTATAGATTCAATGTTAAGACTGGTGGTGATGCTTCTGAAGGTGGTGACGGTAACGGTTCTTATAATATTAAGCAAGCAGTTTATCACGTGAATTGTTGTAACCCAGAATTAGACAACGGTTGGGATATCTTTAATGCATTACTAGGATGGCAAAATACAGGCTACTTATCCTCCGTACTTTGTTACAACGTTTATTGGATTGTATTGATAATTTTCTTGGGGTTGATGATTTTTGAAGAGAAAAGTGGCCATTTACCATTTTTCAAGAATTTACATTTACGACAATTAAATCCAGGTTATTGGATTAAAAATAAAAAGAAGGATGAAATGACTCAGGAACAAACAGAAAATCTCTTCCACAATTTAGAAAAGCTTCAATTTAAAGATGATGGTGCAATCCATATGACAGGAGATCAGCTTGAAGATGGAAGTAACGACGAAGTCGGTTCTTCCAGCCAACAAGCTTCCGATAGTATCGATAAGAAACATGCAAGCGAAGGTCACACCTTACAGATCCAGGAAACTGAAGAAAAAAGTATATAAAATATTTAGAACCTTACATATGTAATCCTCTTTAAACTTGTAAATGTCGCGAATATCCAAGCTTAATAGTTATTCTCTTTCTTTTTGCGTCATCAGCCACATTGAAAAATTATATTTTAAAAGCTCATTAATATTTGCAAATCCCCTCTCTCATCGCATCTTAACATGTGGCGCAAGAGTGAAATCCTAAAAGAATTTTGATATAAAACGATCAGTTTTACTCTTAGTATTTGATGCGTTACACCCCCATTATCTACAATTCTAGTTTGTGGCTGCTACCCATCATCCCTATTGGCTTTCACCAGTTAAAGAAGGAGGTACAATGCATATAATAGAACCGATTACTCCAAATAATGGAATCAATTATTTTAGTAATGATGTCAATTCATTCATTCTCGAATACAGTAACGTGACAGATTTGGGGCGAATTCTTTCAATCTCTTCAATACTGCTCAACCATTATAATGAACTCACACAATTCCTGTTCCTTCACTTAAATATGATTTATAATAATAAAATATATGTTGATGAACTGTATAAAATTGCATATGATTATTATCAAAAACTATTTTATTTGATATTCGTTAAGGATAAAACAAAAATAAATTTACCTCAAGATACAGAATTGACCCAATTGCAAAACACATTAAGAAGCAATTTAATCAACGATGTTTCTATTATTAGAATCCGAAAATATTTACAAAATAACGTGAATCTAAACGAAACAAGGAGTTTTCTCGAGGTCAATCAAGTTCACACGAGAGATATTGATTTGTTTACAAATTTGAACAATACCCTTATTATTGAGTATGGACCCTTTAATTGCTCTGAGCTAAAATACGCAAATTCTAATAATTGTATCGCAATATACCCAAGGGTAGGTTCAGAGTTTGCGACCTTTAATATCGAAAATTTGGCTCAAAATTGTTCCTCTGTTAAGGAATCTTTGTTGTTAAATGAGCTTCCTAAGTTTAGTGAAATTATTGTCTGCATACCGTCACAGGATTTTAATCAATTATTGCCACTTTTTGTTATTTTGGTGATGCATTTTATTTCTACTGGAGTACCTATACCCAGTATAAGAGCTTGTCAGGTAAATATTCAAGATTTGGTTAAACCAAATGGAGGTTCAAAGAAAGTATCTAAACTTAATCCATTCAAGAATTTTAATAATGATATTATTGTGGGATTGGAAAACGAATATAATTCATGTTACATGAATTGTATTATTCAATGTCTGCTAGAGGTCAATGAGCTATCCTCTATATTGATATCTAATTCCTTTTTGAATGATGTTGACTACTCAAATCCCAAAAATAGTAAAGGTATGATTATAACTGCTCTAGCAAATCTGGAGCAAACAATGTTAAATACTTCAATTAACAATAAACTTTCCAATCAATCAAAGTTTTGTTCGTGTCTTCAATTGAAGAAATGTTGTGGAACAATGAATCCAATGTTTAACTCTAATCGTGAAGAAGATTGTTTGGAATTTTGTGAGTTCTTAATTAATTGCTTGCACGACGATCTTAAAAAGGGTACACCAATGGGTGCTTCTTTCGACAAACTGAACAATATTCATAATCAAAAAAGTTTCCAAGAACAAGCATTTTCATCATGGTCTTCTTACCTTGAAAAGGAGTCCAATCTTATGGTAGAGCTCTTTCAAGGTCAAATGGCATCTGTTTTACAATGTCAGTATTGTCTATGTCAATCAAACACATTTCAAATATTTTCCTCATTATCACTATCGTTACCTGCTCATCCGTCATGTTATATTCATGAAAGCATGAATCAATTTTATAGATCAGAAAATTTAATAGGGATTAACGAATGGGAATGTTCCAATTGTAAAACCAAGAGGCCTGCAACGCAGAGACTACAGATTACAAAATTTCCAAAAATATTAATTATTCAATTAAACAGATTTAGTAATTACATGAACAAAAACACTTGTTATGTAAAATATCCTCATATTCTAGATTTGACAGCGTATAGTAATACAGAAAGTATCATACCCAAATATTCTTTGTTTGGCGTGACTTGTCATACAGGAACAATGGATGTTGGACATTATTCATCGTATGTGAAGAAACAAGATGATACGTGGTGGTACTTTGATGATACCAAGTCTAGACCTGTACATTTTGCAAATGAGTTCATATCCCCAGATGCATATATTTTATTTTATAAAATGATTAACTAAAATAAATAACTTCTAATTTTCGTTTGCTTAAAAGACTATTATTCTACAAAGTGTTTTTTTTTTGATATTGTCGTTAAGATATGTATTGTTTACAGATAAGTGCATTGGTTTTATAACATATAATGGTTGATATGTTAGGCCAGTAGTAGTAGTAAATAACAATGAACGTAATTATATAAGTGAAACCTTATACTATTATAGTCACGAATAGTGAACAATGGGACTATCTTCAGTGCTAATGAGGACACAACTGAATTTGTTTCAAATTAAAATAGTAATAATTATAAAAAGAAAGGAAAGACCAAGGTAATTGATGTTGAATGTCCGAAATGAAAAATATATGAATGAATGCATTAACTAATTTAGTAAAAGCAATCATTGAAACAATAAAGAGGCAGCAAATTCAGGATTACCTCCGGTCATGTTTAATGCCTTGATGACTTCAGTTCTCGAGAATCCCAGGTCCATTAGTTGCTGAATTACTTTTGGTGGATAGGGTTGAGGTACACTAGAAGTATTATTGTTGTTACCAAATTGTTGGTTAGTTTGTTGTGGTTGTGGATGTCCTGCAAATGGAGTCCTACTTGAGTCCATCATTTGTGGTACAGGAATATTCTTAAAATTATTTGGTTCGTTCGGTTTCCAATTGTTTGATGAAGGGTTTGATTCTGTTAAAGTTGCAGATGATCCAAATTCTTTTGGAATATCAGCTTCACCTAAAAATGCCGTCTCTGTGTCTGCAATCTTTAGAACGTTTCTTCTAAGATCTACACAAGCTTGATGTCTCTTCAACATATCCAGTCCAATTAATAAATCGATTTGGGTATCAAGGACGACAAAACTACTTGGAATAAATTGAGATTCAATCTTGATCAAAGCTTGGTGTATTCTACCGATAATTTGACCTACACCAACACCTCTAGCCTCACCAATAAATCTCTTATCGATTAACTTTGTTAGTCCTGTCCTTTCTGCAAGCCCAGTTGACATAATGGTCATTTGAGCACCTGTGTCGACGAAAGCCTTCACAGGGGTACCATTAATCTCTAAGTTGATATATAACATTGTTACAGTTGTGAAGACTTCTGGAGTGTATTCGTAAGCATTTCTAAGTTGTTCGTCAATTACTTGTTGGTCAATCAATTCAGCTATCCGATTTTTGTTCTCTGGTAAATCTGGATCACGCATTAATTTCATATATTCTTGTTGCGGTATATTAAATGGATTAGTTTGTGGATAATTTAACATATTTGGATAACGTCTTTGTAAAATGGAAGGACCTAAACTATCCGAGAAAGTTTGTGGGTTTTCAATAGTTTCATTTAAACCAGGAATTTGTTCAGCTAATTGTTGTCTTAATGGTTGATTTCTTTGTAATTCATGTCTGAATTGTTCAACATATTGTTCATCTGTTAAATTTGTATTACTTTCAGATCCTATTGGGAATAAATTCTGTGGACCACGATTAAACTTGTTTTTAATTAATAATAAATCATTATCTTTAAGTCCTATATCTTGTACACTTCTCTCTGAATCATTTTTGAGATCTAATACATTCATCTGATGGTATATATCATTTTTAGAAGAATCAAACTGACAGTCTAACTCAAGTAATGCTACTAGATCTGCTAAATCTGTATCATCACTCAACTCTACAGGTCCATATAACTGACCCGTTATTTCATTGGAAACAGTCAATCTCATTTTATTTTATTTTATTTTTTTAATGGGGTTAGAAATAGGAAGGTTATAAAAAATATTAAGGATCTATGTGCAATAATTAATCGACACTGGCTCTATCGTTCTTCTGATAAATCCACCACTGGATGAAACCCTTTGTTTATGTATTTATGTGTTTGTTTCGAGTATGTAGTGTAAAATCCTACTTTTTTCGATATATTTTAGTAGATCTTAGTAGTTTTAACACCGTAGATCTACCCTTAAACTTAGTATCAAGCGATAATTTGGAAGGGAAAAAAAGAAAAGAAAAGATCGAGAAAGTTGAGATGAAAATTTTGTCACAATCTCCCAACTGTCCAGCGATCTATTTGTTTCACGGTAATGTTGATCCAAAATGGGTGTTTATTTGGTTTGTGTAGACCCTTATTGATATCAAAATGTTTGTATTCTTTCAATTTGTTCTCTGCTTTTTTATATCCACCGACACCCTTTTTGTTCATTATCGCTCGTCGAGAAATTGGAATTCGAAATCCTTTTACGGGGGCCGGAAATATTTCACCCGCAGCTGCCCATTCACATTGATTATATAAGCAATGGGAGGAAGTTTGAAATAAAGGGAAGAGGTTGGATCAAAACTGGGGGAGAGGTGAACATAGAGGTTTGGTCGTCGAGATGAAGAGGGCTATTGAGGATGTATGCGATGAGTCCCAGGGGGTCATTGCTGGGGACAATAAAATGATTAAAATTGAGGATATACCGGAGGACTATAGGGATAGACATGTCCCTGCATTTTCGGATGCAATGGATTTTATTTTAAAAAAGGATAATTCTTTGGTTCATGTGTTTCTGAAAGCAGATTTTGAACTATTCAAGAAGTTTGATAAGGGTTATGGTGAACCTACAGATGATGCTAAATTACAAAATGCTTTTTCGAAGTTAGGTGGAGCTATTGTTGGACAACAAATTAGTAACTCCGCAGCTCGATCCATTAGAATTAAATTCATGGCATTATTTGATGGGATGTTTCCCATGTATAAAGAATTGAAGGAATATATGACTATACCGGATAATGTTAAGAAGATGAGAGAGAGTGGATTAAGTCAACGGAAAGTTACATATATGGAATCATTAGCCATATATTTTTCAGATAATGAAGAACGATTGAAAAAGATGTATTATCATACTAACGATAGGAAAGATAATAATGATGATGAAATTATGAATGATCTTGTTGCTGGTGTGAAAGGTATTGGACCATGGACCGCTAAGATGTTTTTAGTCTCTGGTCTTAGACGAATAAATGTCTTTGCTCCCGAGGATGTTGGTGTAGCAAGAGGATTTTCAAGATACATTTCAGATAAACCGGAATTATTAAAAGAATTAATGGATGGTAGAGAATCTGTAAAGAAGAGTAAGATAAAACATAAAAAATTTAATTGGAAAGTTTATGATGTTGATATTATGGAACGTTGTGCAGATAGATTTGCTCCTTATAGAACAGTATTTATGTTTTTATTATGGCGATTATCAGGTACAGGTAAACTTGATGTAACAATAGATGTAGAAAATCAATTTGTTAATACATTGTAATAATTTAAACAATTTGTGTGTTCTTAATTGAAAAAAAAGAGGAAGGGAAGATAAAAATGATAAATATTCAATATTTACAGAAATACATATTAATAATAATTTAAATAACAAGAGATAGTAATAATAATAATAATAATAATAATAATGTTTTTTAATTTTATTTGGTAGCCAATTTAGAGGCTTCAGTCATGATCTTACTTCCAGAGTTAGTAGTTTTCTTTAATAATTGTTGAGCAAATCCACTATTGATCAAAGTTTTCACATTACCTCTTGGTTTTCTCACTTGATTAGCAAAAATCACAGCTGCTGTGACTAATGCTAAAGAACCAGCTTGATGTAGTGATGCAAGAGGAGTTGGTACAACCCATAAGATTGTCAAAATACCTAGTGTTGCTTGTAATGTAACAACACCCATTAACGCATGAACACTCATTTGAGCATTTCTTGGTAATACAAGTTTCTTTTTCAAAGCATACATATGAACAGCAAAGACACCACAGAATGCAGCAGTAGCAAAAGTTCTATGAACTAATTGAACAGTAGTTGGATTCTCTAAAAGATTTCTCCACCAGATATCTTTTTTATCTTCTCTGCGTGCAAAATTTGGATCCATTAATTCACGACCACTTGGGAACCATGTAACACCCATCTTTGGCCAAGTATTATAAATCATACCTGCATCTAAACCAGCAACCATACCACCAGACATAGCAGTCACAAAACAGAATGCTAATAAAGTCAAAGCAATCTTTCTCATTGGTCCTAAAGTTGGATTATTTAATTTTTGGAATAATTTAGTAGCTTGATCTGGATTTTTCATCCACTTATTTTCTTTAAGAATGTCTAAACCTGTCCATAACATACCAATATATAAACAAAAAGCAGCACCTAAATGAGTGGTCAATCTATATTGAGATACAGTTGGCTTAGATTTTCTAGCGTCCAATTGTTCTTGATCTAAACCAGATTTAACCATCCACCAACCTAAGAAACCTTGTAAACCTAATAAAGAAGTTAAACCTAGAAGTCTTTTATTGACATGTGGTGAAGATCTTTTAGAGACAGCGAAATAAATTGCAGGTGCAATAAATACAACACCAATAGCACGACCCCATAATCTATGAATCCATTCCATAAAGAAAATAAATTTAAATTCATCTAAATTAATATGAGAATTTAATTGTTGAAATTCAGGAGATTCCTTATATTTCAAAAATTCTTCTTCCCATTCTTTTTGTCCGATTGGTGGTAAAGAACCTGTCACTGGTTTCCATTCAGTAATAGATAAACCAGATTCAGTTAATCTTGTTAAACCACCCAAGACAACAATACCAAAGACTAAACCTGAAGTACCTATTAACCAATAAGCAACAGTATTCGAAGTTTTAACGGAGTTAGCCATTTCTTCAGTAATCTTAGAAGTAGATTCATTCAGTAAAGGTTTAAAAGAACTAAATTGACGAGAATTAGATTTCCATTTAGAACCAAGTATCATCATTTCTCTTTTCAATTGACTAGATTTTTCTTTGAAAAGAGGAGTCATTGAATAATTTCTAATACCAACTGGGGTTTTACACGAAGAACCACTAGTTGTTAGTTTTGTAAAACTTTTGTTAAATACGGAGTTTCTAGCAAATAATCTCGAGGAGACATTGAAGGTATTCGACTCCCTCAAGAGTGTCTTCAAAAGTAGCATTGCTGGTTATAGTATTGCAAAAATAAACCAGTAGTAACAAACTGTGTTATTTACTAAACTTTTGTTGTCTTCCAACTAGTAACGAAAGTAAACAATCCTAAGATAAACTTTCTCTCTCTCTCTCTTTATATATAAATAAATATATATATGTATGTATGCCTTGCCTAATCAGTTGCTGTCTGGTGAAACGTCTCCTTGTTGACTGTTCATGCGGTTTTTCCCTAAAAAAACATTTCAAAATTTTTTTTTCGGAGCAATTTATCGCTTATGAAGGGATTATGTATGACGTGTGGAGTGATTTGCAACAGGGTTTTGCAACTGGGTTTTGAGAACACACTGTTACCAGATGGCTTTCGATACCATTGTGTACCTTGTGATGCCTGTGAGAGAGTCTGGCTTGTGGAGGTCGCGATTGTTCCTCTTTTCCGTGTTATCTGGAGGAACAGCAGTTTCAGAATCGTGAATGATTTCTCTTGTGTTAGTGTCCATCTTACCAATACCATCGACTATATGCCCTGGAACATAGTCATTAGAGTTAACCAATGTGGATCGTCTGTGTAATTCCCACTCGGATTGGATGTTAACCCCCCATTTAAATAGAATTTGATGTGTCATTTGTCTTAATGTGAGTAAAATAATAAACCAGATTAGAGTTAGAACTATTGAGATAGTTATTTTAGACCATTGAGTAGATTCAAACAGGTAAAATAATGAAGTACGTAACATAACAATACTTAACGTGACATATGCTAGCATGGGTAATCCTAATCGTTCTTGATAATCTTGTTGATTTGTAGCATGATCTCGATACATGATATAAAAAAATTTATCATAAATTTGTGGTCGTATTCTATTAAATTTCGTAATATAAGCATGTTTAATCCAATCGACTAAAATTTCTGATATAAAAATATTAATTATTGGTAATGATATTAAAGTAATTAATAACTTTCTATCAAATATTGGAATAAAATTTAAATGAATTGGGGCTGAAGTACCAAGATTTCTTAACATTATGATTATTACTAATACTAATAATTTAAACCTTTCCATTGAATCTGCCATTGTAATTTGAAATAAACTTTCTTTATCGAATTTTTTGAATACAGAACTTTTAATCTCAGCAAATTGTAATGATAATAATAATGTTAATAATGAATTGGAATATGAATTCACTGCAACGTTTAAAGATATTGTTTGATAAATTAATACACTTGTATGACATACAAGGTAAATTAAACTAAGTAAGATCAGGGATAATTGTTTAGCTCTCATATTCCTATAACTAGTCTTTGTTAACAATACACTCAGTAAGCTCTGACCTATTGTGGCTAACATCTTATCAGCAATTTCAAGGACATTAAATAACATATAAAGTTTCATAGCACTTTGTCTCTTGATCTTATGATAAACTTTTGAAGTGTCCAAATGACTTATAATAATCGTAACACTTATTATCAAAAATAAAGTTACACGTTCCTTATATGTTCTTGCTAATCTAGATGTAGTAGTTGTTGTACTAAATAATCTTACACCTATCTTAATAGGCAACACAGTGAAATAGTATAAGAAACAATCTAAGGACGCTAATAATGTAAAACCCATAAATTTCTCAATTTGAATTGGAATTCTAATCATATTTAGCAATTGCTCTAACTCGACATCTGTCTTGGAATTCCTATCATTATTGGTAATATCATTATTTTTCTTTTGTAAAGGATGGTAATCCAGTTCTGAAAGCCATCGAATAACACGAGCATTCTTCGGTTGTGGTGATGGTTTCTTAATCTTCTTCTTGTTGTTTTTCTTGCTCATCACTTCGATTCATATATGATCATGTTCTGATCCATCTTGTTGCATTGTACATTCATTCCCACTAGTATGAATGCACTACTCTGTCTTCTTTTCGCCTTTGTTTCTGTGTTTTACTTCCTTTCCAAAAGCCTGATCCCATCTCTTCGTTTGTCTGAAATTGCAATGTTTTCCCTTTTCCCACATTCATTACACACGATTAACACCCATGTGAAATAGAAGAGAAATAAAAGAAAAATGAATACAGAAAGGATAAAGAAATAAACAATAGAAACAGTAATTTTTGAGTCGTATCCTATCAGTCACGACTAGATTTTTCGTACTATATACGCTCCATAAACTAAAATGGTAGTGTCGCTAAAGAATATTCAAGATGAGGTTCTAAAACCATTCCAAAACCACAGACAACTAAGCATCAAGGAATCAGAAACATTAACTCTGGATTTATTAGCATTACTATGTGATGATGAGATCGAAAATGGTAATACGTTAAAATATTTAGCCAAATTAATAACGCCGACAACTTACGATGATCTCATTGAAGAAAGAAACCTTAATCATTTATGTGGATATCCATTGTGTAACAGACCTCCTGAACGTAACGTTCATCATTCAGAATCAACTTTACATCATGGAAATACTGGTGTGATGTCATCTCATCAAAATGATGCAATTATTAAACGATTTTTATGGGAGAATAATCCATATGCTTATCTTTCTAAATTTTGTTCTAAGTTCCATTTCCGTTGTTCGCAATTCTACCAAGTGCAACTAGATGAAAATGCCTTATTTAGTAGGACGGGTATTCATCTGATTAATGATACATTAAAGAATAAAGAAAATAATGAGAATGAGAATGAGAATACCGCATACCAGGTGACTTTGTTTGAAGATTTACTGAGGGAGAAGAGTACCGAAGAGGATGTCAAGTCATTAATTATAGGTTTAAAGAAACTTGGATTGCACAATTCATCTGGAGAAACTGAACTTTCTGAGGATAAGCTTTTAGAAGACGAATTATCGCAATGGTTAAGTGATATTAAGATTGTTGAAAATAATAATCCCCCTCTCATGGGTGATTTGGAAAAGGAGAATTGAATATTTTGGGAATAGTATATTGATTAACAAAATATTTATCTGAAATAACTTTTATTTTATTATTATTTTTTGTTTTGAGAATAATTTAAATGGTTTATTTAATGGTCAAAGAGAACGACTTATATCAGTCAGGGAAAGACGGGACGTTCAATAATAAAAAGGAATGAGGTAGAATAAAATGGAACTGAACAAATATATATTAGTATACCTTATGTTACGATACACATACATGGTCAGAAATATTTCTCAACTGATTTAATGAGCACTAATATTTGTAGTGAGCGATGTTACGCTCATATGTATAACTAATGTATCTAATAAATAAAATAAAAAGGATATTATGTAACGTATGCTTAATAAAATAAATAACTTCGAATAATAATTTATAGCGGAGTCGTCATCTCCCTGATAAAATTGGTTAATGTTGAAAAGGCTATGTAAAGAAAACCTCAGTGACAAATAAAGGGAAACCCTTTGAATATATACTTCTAGCCATTTACACATTCCATTATGTAACTTTTCATGGTACCTAAGTTTAAACACAGCGTTCTTAGGTTTCTCAACTAAAAAGCTTTGAAATTATTGGTTTACAGGATATTTAAAAAACATTTCCTATGTTCTGCAGGTAGTTTATGACAATTTTGAAAACCTTTTAATACTTTAAGATAGGAGTATTGCCTATTTTAATAAAACTCGAGTTACCGAAACAAATGCTTATGAAAATTTATCAAAAATGTTTACTATTGTCAGTCCGTGACAATATATCAAACATTTTGAATAGTTTTTAAAATTATAGGTTAAACACGGGAGAGTATAAAACTGGTTACATGAAATTTGCTATTCGCGTATCCGTGAAAGCGTTAAGCAAAATACTCTTCCATTGTCGGTATGCGCCCATTCAAGATTTCATTCTGATTTTCCTTTTGTTGTACTTTCCCTATATGTCATATTGCTATCTTTCCTCGTAATTTTTGCCCATTCTCGGAATTGAGAAGCTGAAAGAGAATTTCTAAAGCATTTTTTGCTTTCTTATCTTTCAATGTTAACCAGTATGTTCGGTAACAACTTATTTGATTACTATTACCTAAATGATAGGACATCAAAATAAATACTCTTAGAGTCAAAGGTCCTTAACAATAGCATCTAGCACCCCCATTATATTTGCTTTAAAACGTTCAATAGTATAAACAATATTGTTCATATTTTATATATGTATATATACCTCGGAGACAATGACACAACATATAAACTCGCTCAACAACATATTCTAAATTTTAAAAAACATTTAATTTCAATTTTTGATGTCCTTAAAAGATCAAATAATGATCAATTTTTTCAAGAAAATATGGTTTCGTGGTCTAGTTGGTTATGGCATCTGCTTAACACGCAGAACGTCCCCAGTTCGATCCTGGGCGAAATCAATTTCTTTTTGATATTTTTTTAACTCACTTTCGCCCTACCCTCCCCCTGTTTGATAGTAATTTATAGATTTGCTAAACGTAATCTTATTTCCATCGATTGACAATTTCCTTCTTCTTTTCGTCCCATATATTTAGATAACATAACTCTCTTTCAAAAATTTAGGCAGGTTGTTAGGACCAATTCCCAATTATCTAGCCCAAGATTCATGAGAAACTGTAACAGTACAATTGATCATTCTCTGGGAATCAATCAAATAAAATTAATTACCCTTTATTGTCACCATCATCGTCATCATCATCATGTATCCATAAGATGAGTGTTCGAACCCTCTCGTGCTCATACTTTATATCAAGAATTTACAGTAAAACACCCGCACAAACACCGCAACGAAGACGAAATTGAACACAATTTTTTCGTTTAACGACAAAGTTTTCTTGGTTTCGTGGCTCTCTCTCCTTTTCTGATTTTTCTCTCTCTTAGTAAAGGATTGAGAAAGAAGGAAAGGGAATTAAATAGTTAGGAGGGGTCATATATCAAGACAGATAAGATTGATTTCAGAGAAGTTAATTTGGTTCAATTGTATATATTCTAGCACACTGAATATAGGAAATATATATATATATCTATATCTATATAGACTAGAATAGACTTTTTTTTGTTCAAAATGAGTGAAGAAATGGATACTGAATATGACGTGATTGTCCTTGGTACAGGGATCACCGAATGTATCTTATCAGGGTTATTATCTGTTGATGGTAAGAAGGTTTTACATATTGATAAACAAGATCATTATGGTGGTGAATCTGCTTCTGTTAATTTATCACAATTATATTCACAATTTAAGAAAAATCCAATTGGTAAAGATGAAATTGAAGCTAAATTTGGTAAAGATAGAGATTGGAATGTTGATTTAATTCCAAAATTTTTAATGGCTAATGGTGAATTAACTAATATATTAGTTCATACTGATGTAACACGTTATGTTGAATTTAAGCAAGTTTCAGGTTCTTACGTTTTTAAACAAGGTAAAATTTATAAAGTTCCAGCAACTGAAATGGAAGCAATTTCTTCACCATTAATGGGTATCTTTGAAAAACGTAGAATGAAGAAATTTTTAGAATGGATTAGTAGTTATAAAGAAGATGAAATAAGCACTCATCAAGGTTTAGATTTAGATAAAAATACAATGGATGAAGTTTATTATAAATTTGGTTTAGGTAATTCAACAAAAGAATTTATTGGTCATGCAATGGCTTTATGGACAAATGATGATTATTTACAACAACCTGCAAGACCTTCTTATGAAAGAGTCTTATTATATTGTCAAAGTGTTGCACGTTATGGGAAATCACCTTATTTATATCCATTATATGGTCTTGGTGAATTACCTCAAGGTTTTGCTCGTTTATCAGCTATTTATGGTGGTACTTATATGTTAGATACTCCAATTGAAAAGGTTTTTTATACTAATGATGATTCAGAAAATGGAAAATTCGAAGGTGTGCAAACTAAATTAGGTACTTTTAAAGCTCCCTTAGTAATAGCTGATCCAACATATTTTTCTCATAAATGTAAATCTACTGGACAAAGAGTCATTAGAGCTATTTGTATTTTAAATCATCCTGTTCCAAATACTGGTGATGCAGATTCTTTACAAATTATTATTCCTCAATCTCAAGTTGGTAGAAAAAATGATATTTATATTGCTATTGTGTCGGATGCTCATAACGTTTGTTCAAAGGGTCATTATTTAGCTATCATTTCAACTATCGTTGAAACGGATGCTCCACATATTGAATTGGAGCCTGCTTTCAAGTTATTAGGACCTATCGAAGAAAAGTTCATGGGTATTGCAGATTTATTTGAACCAAAAGAAGATGGCTCTAAGGATAATATCTATTTATCCAAATCTTATGATGCTTCCTCTCATTTTGAATCGATGACAGATGATGTGAAGGATATTTACTTCAGAGTTACAGGACATCCTCTGGTGCTAAAGAAGAGGAATGATCAAGAATTACAACAAGAAGATTGAAAAAGAAAATAACCAATAATTCAGCACTATTGTAAGAGAAAAGAAGACGAGGAAAGGGAGAAATGATTGCTTACTCTGTCTCTATCTCTTGTTTTCTTTATTAAAGAAAACATTTTGTTAAAGAGATATTATTATTATTATAAGTTCCTCCTATCATACATATATACAGTATGTAATTGACTTCGTGTTCATTCTTCTTTTTCTTATACATTTTCATTTTTTTTTAATTTACAAATTTTTTAAATAGATTCTTCTTCTTCATAAGAATAGAATATTTTAGACATGTATTAAAAGCTCTTTTAGTTGTTTGTTATCATTATTCCTCAAGCTTACAAAAATTTATTGTTTAATGTGGTAATAATTATATGATTTATTTAAGCGCGTAATGCTAAAATATATAAAATATAAATATAAATAAACTAAAAAAATTAGTTATATTATATTTGACGAAGTATAAAAGGGAGGTACGTTTCAAGCTAAAACTATATACACAGATATACTTTTACCAGTGTTCAAGATGGATACCAGTATCTATGAAGCCTGTAATGACTTGGTGACCGAATTTCACACCCACAAAGTAAGTCCCGATGAGATTCTAGCAACTAAAGTTAGTCACACAGTCCCAATTCCTTTCAAAACTCGTGAAGATCTTGAAAAAGACACCCAAGCGGATAAAGACGAAGGTCTCTTCCATGGAGATATTTTACCACGAATAGATCTTAAAGTACTGCATTATTTTGCTACACAACTGTGTTTGCAGAAATATCCTCATTTGATTAATGCGATGGATGAAACAAGTATGATTACTTTGGGATTACTAGTAGAACAATGGATAGAAGAATATTTAGTAAGTACCAATGAAGAGTTAGAGACTGATAATGAAGATGATGTAGAAGAACAATATCTTCGCTCCATTGGTGAAGCCTCTTCGGAACCACAAGATGACAAACCATCAAAGAAAAGAGTATGCATTGGAAAAGGTCCATCTGAAGTCATTGCTAGTATTATGAATGGAACAAGTAACACGTCAAATGTATGACTTTGGCGTTCAATTACTATGTGGATCGAGCATTCAATAATAATATAAATAAAGGTTCAGTCTATAGGACTAATACGTACTCGTACTGTATGATAATCCTGCCGTTCTTGAAAAAAATTGCACTGAAAAAAAAAATGAAAATAGAAAAATTTTCTTATTCCCAGTTGAGATGAGGTTGAAGCTTTTAGGTTTAAAAGTAGTGACTCTCATCTATAGAGGTCTACTGTTATTATTTTTGAAGATCTCAAGATTCCTTCGCATAGGTTCTCGAATAGGATACATAGAAAGTAACTATTACTAAGATGGCTAGAAGAAAAGGTGGTAAGAAAGGTAACAAGAAGACATTCGGTGCCCGTGATGACACAAGAGCTCGTGTAGGTTGGAATGATCTGGTCAGAGAAAATGAAAAATGGGAAAAATATTATAAGAGTTTAGGTTTAATTAAGGAAGATGAATGGGACAGTTTCAAGAAAACTTGTCAATCTCCATTACCACTTACATTCAGAATTACGGGTTCGAGAAAACATTCTAGTGAAGTTTTAAATTTGTTTAAGGAGAAACATTTACCAAATTTGACTGATGTAACTTTCGAAGGTGAAAAGATTAAAGCCCCAATGGAATTGAAATGGTATCCAAACGATTATGCCTGGCAATTAGATGTTCCAAAGACAGTCATCAGAAAGAATGAACAATTTGCAAAGACTCAAAGATTTTTGGTCCTAGAAAATGCTGTTGGTAATATTTCTAGACAAGAAGCTGTTTCAATGATTCCACCAATTGTTTTAGAAGTTGAACCACAACATACTGTTCTAGATATGTGTGCAGCACCAGGTTCTAAGACTGCTCAATTAATTGAAGCTTTACATAAAGATACAGATGAACCAAGTGGGTTTGTTGTAGCTAATGATGCTGATGCAAGAAGATCCCATATGTTAGTTCATCAGTTGAAAAGATTAAACAGTGCCAATTTATTAGTAGTCAATCATGACGCTCAATTTTTTCCAAGAATCAGAACTAACGAAGATACCAAAGATTTCTTAAAATTCGATAGAATTTTATGTGATGTTCCATGTTCCGGTGATGGTACAATGAGAAAGAATGTTAATGTTTGGAAAGATTGGAACACTCAAGGTGCTTTGGGTCTACATACTGTGCAATATAACATTCTAAACAGAGGTTTACACTTGTTGAAGAACGGGGGTAGATTAGTCTATTCTACATGTTCTTTGAATCCAATTGAAAATGAAGCTGTTGTTGCAGCTGCCTTGAGGAAATGGGGTGATAAAATCAGATTGGTAAACTGTGATGACAAATTACCAGGTTTGATCAGAGATCATGGTGTCTCAAAATGGCCTGTATTCGATAGAAACATGGAAGTCAGGAGTAAAACTGATGAAGGTATGTTAGAAAGTTGGTTTGAACCTTCCACTGAGGAAACTGAAAAATTCGGTTTGAACAACTGTATGCGTGTCTACCCTCACAAACAAAACACTGGTGGTTTCTTCATTACTGTATTTGAAAAAGTGGATGATGACCAAGCTACCTCTTCTACATCTTCAAACAAAAGATCTGCTACACCATCTGCTACCAGTTCAGAACCTGCTGCAAAGATGTTGAAAAATAACGATGCTGAAGCTCAAAAGAAGGAAAGATTACCTCGTGATGCTAATGAAGAACCATTTATTTTTGTAGATCCTGAACATAAATCGTTAAAGACTTGTTGGTCCTTTTATGGTATTGATGACAAGTTTGAAAAGAACACTTGTCTAGTTAGAAATGGTACTGGTGAACCAACTAGAGTTGTTTATACTGTTGCTCCATCCTTGAGAGATATCATCCGTTCTAACGATGACAGATTAAAGATGATTTATTCTGGTGTTAAATTATTTGTCTCCCAAAGAAGTGATATTGAATGTTCTTGGAGAATCCAAAGTGAATCTTTACCAATCATGAAGCACCATATGACTTCAAACAGAATTATCAAGGGTAATCCTGAAATGCTGAAATTGTTGTTGAAAGAAGCATTCCCAACATATGACGACTTAGAGAGAGAACCTCTTGATCCAGAATTCGTTAAGGAAATGCGTGCTATAAGTTCAGGGTGTGCATTCATCGATGTTCAACGGAATGATGATAACAAGGAAAACTTGTTTTTACCTGTTTGGAAGGGTACTAAATGTATCAATTTAATGGTTTCTAAAGAAGATACTCATGAACTATTATATAGAGTGTTTGGTGTTGAAACTAGTGCGAAAGATAACAAGCAAGCACAAAAACAAGCAGAACATCAACAAGCTAAAGCTGAGGAAACTCCAGTTGCTGCTGCAACCGTTGATGAAGAATCCAAATAAGGTGTAATACGTAAATAACCAATATAACTTTGTATATTATATCAACTTAATGTTTATTTATTTTAGTGATCAACATCATATCTATTTCGGACTAATATCTTCGCCCTTATATATATATATATATTTTAATTACGCGAAAGTGAAAAGTTCTTCACATTAATATAGAAAGAGACATATATTTAAAGGATAAGATACATCTTAGGGCAGTAGGTCAAAACACCATAGTTTTGCTTAGTAGTGAATAATCGCTATTGTGTTAATATTCTGACCTTTAAGTCACTTATTAAATAAGATATACATATATAATGGACAATCTGACAGCTGAGGATTACTTAAATCAACAAACTGCGTTAGAGGAAGAAGCAAAAGAGTTGATGCCATGGGATCCAAAAACTTGTACGTATTCAATAGGACCGTTAAAGCAACAAGTATACGCCTGTCTAACTCACGATAACATTGGTATCTGTTATTCGTGCTCTATTCGTTGTCATACTTCGTGTGAGATAGTGGAATTATTTACGAAAAGACACTTCACTTGTGATTGTGGGACAGAGAAAGATAAAAGAATAGATTCAAAGAGTTCCAATAGCAAGTGTGAAATACGTCAAAATAAAGAATGCGACATCGCTGCTGTAGATAACATATACGGACACAATTTTCAGGGTTTATTTTGTGATTGCTCAAAGGAATATGACCCAGAGTCTCCAAGCGTTATGATTCAATGCATAATGGGTCTTGCTTGTGGTGAGGACTGGTACCATGATCATTGTATAATGGGTTATACAGATGAGGAGTTGAAGGATGTAGCAAGGAAATCTGAGGATGATAAATCAGAAAACTCGCCCGATGGATTCCCAAGTTTAGAGTCATTTGATTCGTTTATTTGTTGGAAATGTGTGTCTCGTTATAATTATTACTTTCAAAAGATAATGTCTAACGAGTTAGCAAATGATATAATATCTTGCACAATAGATCATGACAAATCGTCGCATTTTATAAACGAGCATGGTAAAAGAGAGAAAATCGATAGTGATATACAATTTTCAATCTTCTTAAAGGAAGACTACGGTAACGGTTTAGAAAAATTAAAAGATTCCATAACCGATCATAAAGATAAATTATATATCTTCTTAACGGAATTAGTTCCGTTTCTAATTAAGGATGAAGACCTGTATGAGCCTCCTACTGAAGAAGATGACTCAATATTAGATATAATAAGTAAGTCATTGTCATCATCCATGACTACTTCAGATATTGTTCTAGGAACTACTGCATTAAACAAGTTACAGTCTAAACTAAAGGAGTTTCTCAAACCATTTGCAGAGAAAGGTGAGGTAGTTAAGGAAGAAGATATAAGTTCATTTTTTCATTCGTCTAATTAGTGAGTGAGACTTTAAGAACCTGTTTTTGAAACTTAAAAATATCCTTAGACATCCTAATCTTCTTTTGGAGTTAGAAAAATATAATTGGGAACAGTCAGTCAGATGAAGTAAGAGTGAATGTCGAATCGTTAAACAATACGCCCATGGTCATACTAAAACTTCCATGATAAATCTTCATATGGGAATTGGAAGCCACGAGTTTGTTGGATCTGAAAAAATGTTTTTTTGATCACCCTTAAGACATTTATTTATTTATTTTTGAAATTACAAGTACCGATTGACCTAACTGACTATTTTTTGAATGAAGTCTTTCAGTGCTAGAGATAGTTGAGCTTTGGACAAGAAAAATGAAATATAGGGTTTAATTTATTTCCTATATTGCATACATACACGTAGTACCTATCCTCGTAGCACCTCCCTATTTTTTGGAGAATACTGCCATTCTAAAAGTTCTTTAAATAACACACTTGGTGTTTATTTATCTATCTACGTCCTTAAAGACACCTTGGTTGTGATACTGACACTTGCAGGAAAAGGCCAGGGGATCTTTACAGTTTATTTTCTTCAAATAATTAATAGCTCCACCACTAATAATGTTCTTTTAATTTGTTGAACTTTGACTTTTTAAATATATATAATGTACATCTAAACTGAGTATCGAAATGCCAGTGCGAATTCATATACTTAAATTCTGAGCTTTAAACTACGCAATATAGAGAGTATTATAAAAAAACATTGTGCCTTTTTGTTTAAAGATTTTTTTGGTGTTCAAAGACACATACTAAATTTGCAACAAAAGTAGTTTGCAAATGTATACTTTACATGCAAGATGTTGGTGATAATATAGTTGTTGGTTTCATTGTGACCATCTGGATGACATTGCCAACAGAAGTTCCGCTACAGAAAAATCTGATATTTTCCCAGTTATTAAATTAAATACAAGAATATAGTCAATTTAAGGAGGTATGACTATTTAATTTAAAGGAAGGTGTTGTGGTAAGTATATTATTTGTAATTCGATTCTATAATGTATAGGTAACTAATTGAACGTGATATATTAAAGATGGTTATAACGTGATAGATCTAGTATGCTATATTATACTACTTGATAATGTCACAGAGTT